TATATATATATAAGGGCAGCATGACCAGGAAATGAAGAAAACGTTCATGACGGTGGAAAAGACCCGCACACGCCCCGTTTTCTTATTTTACTCTCTCTTTCAGCTATTCAAGTTGGGTAAAAAAAAGACTTGCCTGACATGATGAAAAATTGACGCAACTCTTCAGCCACGTGTGCATTGATTCTGATGGCTAAATGTCGATTAACACGACACAAAATATGCTGAGGAATATTTAATGCTAATCATCATGAGTTCAAAGAAGGAAAATGAGGTTCCTCACGCTTGCCAGCGTCTCATAATAAGAACAATTTCTTGGGAAATTTTCAAATTCGTAAATGTCATAGTTTCACGAAAATTAGTTCACACAAAAATCTTCAAAAATTGCGAACTCCACGAACATTTTACGGAAATCGCAGAATTATTGTTCGCGTCTATTTATAACCCGCGATCAGTACGGATAATCAACGATGAGTATTGTAAAGCATATGAAGAAATATTTCAATCGTGGACGCATCGACTGTAAAATTGCATCACGAAAGAAGGAAACATTAATGGAAATGATAATTTATTTTGTAGAGATTTATTTCGCATTTGGACATAAACTGAAATTATAAAAAGAAGCGATTTTCTCAAAATCCTGGCGTCTTTTTTCTGGGATCAGTTGAAAATTATTTAATTTCTACGCCTGAAATTTCAAATGGAGTTAGAGTGAAATACAGAAATACAGCACAGTAAATCAAGATACAATAAGACCCAGAGATGCAGATGTAATTGGTGCATCAAGAGTCAAAACGTCCCTAAGTTAAGTCTCATTTTTGCTTAGACTTATATTCTATACTTTTTAATCGGTGTTTTATGCACAAAATACTCACCATAATTCCATTAAAATAAAAATTGTCTCCCAATGTAGACTGAATCAATCAATATATTTCAACACAATATGGATGTTTGGGGAATTGGATACTGATACCTCTGTAGAGTACAGAGAAATGTTGGCATTCTCTGTAAAAACAACATTCAAGTGAAAAAGAGAGAAGAATGTCTCTCTATACTGGAGGTAATTTTTTTTAATCAGCTAAATGGATGGTAAATTGGTGAGAGAAATGCCCAAGAACTTTTCTTAAATCAATTTTAGGGTTGGAAATATTTGTTTCTTGTAATTTGGCCTTAAATGCATTTGCAATTTTATCACAACATGTCCCTATGTCAAGTCAGTGTCCTCATATCTGACCTTTTTATTAATTTTTTGTGGGAAAATAAGTGTCCCTATGTCAAATTGTCTGCAGGTTGAGGTGTCTGCATGTGGGGTTCTCACTGTATTTCTTATACTGTATATAGAGATATACTATACAGTCGGCATATTTTGTAAAGCATCCTGACTTTTTCGAATTGACGCGACGTAAGATTTGAGGGAATTTTTTTTTTCGTCTTGAAACACCACAGATTGGTTGGCTGTCAGCACTGCCGCATTTGGTGATGACCATGATTGTTCCAATGGGAGGAATTTTGGCAGATCACCTGAGAAAGAATGGGATTATGTCGACCACGAATGTCAGAAAGGTTTTCAACTGCGGAGGTTTTGGATTGGAAGCCATATTCCTGCTTTTCACTGCTTACGCAACGACCAGCAAACAGGCCATGACTTCGCTCGTTTTCGCAGTTGGTTTCAGTGGATTTGCAATTTCTGGTGCGTAATTTTCTTTGCAACAAAGAATACAATTTTTATCCGATTTTTTTCTCTCTTGATTTGACCAGGTTTTAACGTGAATCACCTGGACATTGCACCGCGTTACGCCAGCATCCTTATGGGATTGTCCAACGGCTTCGGAACGCTTTCTGGAATGATTTGCCCGAAAGTCGTGGAAAGTTTGACTGAGAACGAGGTAAATTAAATTCCAAATGTTACAAAAGAAGGGGGGGGGGTTATGACGAGTATTTCATGCTAAAAGTTGGCATTCATTTCCGTGTTCTATAAAGTCTTCTGACGATTGGAGGAAGGTCTTCATCATTGCGTCTTGCGTGCACTTTTTCGGGGTGACGTTTTACGCGATATTTGCTTCAGGAGAACTGCAACCTTGGGCTGAACCTCCGGTTCCTTCTTCTGTTGTCACTAAGAGACTGTCCATCATCAGACAACAAAGTTTGGTGAGCATTGATTCGTTACTTGAATTTTTAATGATGCATTTTGATCGAAAAAGATTTGTCCGCGTCAGTTGTATACACGCGCGCGTTCTTGAAAATGAAACGCAGCAGCACAAGATAATTTCAAAGTCAGCTTGATTGTCGTTTGCCAAAGCGTGAACAGATTTTGAAAATATCGTTCAATAAATGCATTTGAAAGAAAATTCCTAAAATTTTAAGGAAAAAAATCCAAGTAAGTTTGGAGAGACTCGGGAAAGCAAAAGCTGAAAGTACTCACATTGAATGGAAAACAATACAGTGAGACCTCAAGATGCGGACATAATTGGTGAATCAAGAATGTCCTTAAGTCAAAATGTCCCCAAGTCAAGTCACATTATCCCTTAGACTTACATTATATAATTTTTAATTGGTGTTTTATGAAAAAAAAAATACTCACCATAATTCAATGAAAATAAAAGTTGTCTCCCAATTTAAACTGATTCCAATCAATATATTTCAACACAATATGGCCATTTGGGGAATTGAATACTGATACCTCTGTACAGTACATAGAACTGTTGGCTGTAACCAGATCATAAATGTCCATTAAAGAGAGGGTGTCAAATTAGCAGCTTAAAATCTTGTCCCTGATCCAGTAGTGGTTTAGACTTGGAGCAGTGTTACATCACAAGCTATTTGGGTCCATGGACCAGTATAGAACTTTTCTTACATCAATTTTAGGGTTGGAAATATCTGTTTCTTGTAATTTGACCTGAAATGTATTTGCAATTTTATTGCAAAATGTCCTTATGTCAAGTCAGTGTCCTCATGTTGGGCCTTTTTATTAATTTTTCATTCGAAAATAAGTGTCCCTACGTCGAATTTTCCCCAGGTCGAGGTGTCCGAATGTGGGAGTCTCACTGTATATCGGAATTGTCAAGATTTCTAGTCTAGAAACAGGTCAAGTGTCCGTAGCTCAAGACATACTGTCTGGCTGTTCGGGCAGATTTTTTTTTAGTTTCAAGTTTCCGTAAGTCGAATCGACCGTAGGTCAGGGGCATCCGCATTTCGGGGCCCCACGTCTGTACAATAAATAAAACGAACCAAAACAGCAATTTCTAAATTTTGTGTTCCCGCTTATTCCGATGCAAATTCTGTATATATACAGGCACAGTCCGAAGGAGGAATCCTGAGATCGGACTCCAAGGAACACCAAGCGTCTTACGGCGCCATTCCGGAAGAACAAGGCATTCGAGCTGCTGTTCCACAAGCGCAAGACCCGGGTTTCAATCCTTTCAGACAACCCGCAGCACAGGATTATCAAGACCCAACGAATTACCAACAGCCTGCTGCTCAGTATTACGACCCCACTGCATCATCATCACAACCGCCGCCGAACCCAGCAAATCCATTCAGAGGCGGTTACCAGTAATCCATCGATTAAGGACAAGCAGAAATTTGGGGGGCATTAAGCAGAAAGTTATCAAGCAAAGTGATCGTTAACGGTTGTTATTGTGTACAGCTTGGAGCACGAGGTTCCGTGCATTAAAACAAAAAAAAAAGGTAGAGAGAGAAGGACGATTTCGCAGGATGAAAAAGAGCAGGTCCTGTTTTCATCCATCTTCAACGTGTGTATATGCAAATGTTTTTTTGGTTATCATTTACGAGTGAATGGATTTTTCAATGTGTTCGAAATTGGTTTCCTGCTGGGCATCCGAATAGCTTTAATAATTCAGCTTCATACTCGAAATCTGAGTTTCGAAACCATGTTTCAACGGATTTTTTCTTAGCGTAAATGACCCGACGAAGAATCCAGGGAATTTGGAACACCATGCGAAATTTCGTCATAATGACTTCCAAAATTTGTGCGGGGATATTATTCAAGCTGTGCTTTTCTCGATCACATTGCGTTCGTAATTTTGGCAACTCGCTTCAGCTTGACCCTGTGGATATGATGGCTTATTAATTTAAAAGTGTCGCATTAAAATTAAAATCACGGTAATAATTTACTCGGTTAATAACAATGAAATGGAAGAAGATTATGTTCAATCCATCAAAAAATGTTACGGAATGTTGCGACACATTCATTTCAATACCCGGAATTTTTAGTTCAAGAAATCTCAGATTTAAAAAAAGCCACAGCAAAGCTCTCCATTATTTAATTGGATGCTCAGCCGAATTCTTCGTCGTTACGTTTTGAAGACATTTGACGATGCGTGTTTGAAAATTGAATTTTGAATTTCGGTTTGAGAAAACGCCTGTCAAGCACTCGATACTGATATCGAAGTGTTCCTTCAAGAAACAAAAAAAAATCCTCGAGAAATCGACGAGGACCACTCATTCTTAAGGAGCGCGCTCGTGTTGCTCGTGACGCATACGAAGCAGTTCCCATGGAAGACAAAATAGTGATGGAAAAACTTGTACATAACGNGAAAATAAGTGTCCCTACGTCGAATTTTCCCCAGGTCGAGGTGTCCGAATGTGGGAGTCTCACTGTATATCGGAATTGTCAAGATTTCTAGTCTAGAAACAGGTCAAGTGTCCGTAGCTCAAGACATACTGTCTGGCTGTTCGGGCAGATTTTTTTTTAGTTTCAAGTTTCCGTAAGTCGAATCGACCGTAGGTCAGGGGCATCCGCATTTCGGGGCCCCACGTCTGTACAATAAATAAAACGAACCAAAACAGCAATTTCTAAATTTTGTGTTCCCGCTTATTCCGATGCAAATTCTGTATATATACAGGCACAGTCCGAAGGAGGAATCCTGAGATCTGACTCCAAGGAACACCAAGCGTCTTACGGCGCCATTCCGGAAGAACAAGGCATTCGAGCTGCTGTTCCACAAGCGCAAGACCCGGGTTTCAATCCTTTCAGACAACCCGCAGCACAGGATTATCAAGACCCAACGAATTACCAACAGCCTGCTGCTCAGTATTACGACCCCACTGCATCATCATCACAACCGCCGCCGAACCCAGCAAATCCATTCAGAGGCGGTTACCAGTAATCCATCGATTAAGGACAAGCAGAAATTTGGGGGGGCATTAAGCAGAAAGTTATCAAGCAAAGTGATCGTTAACGGTTGTTATTGTGTACAGCTTGGAACACGAGGTTCCGTGCATTAAAACAAAAAAAAAGGTAGAGAGAGAAGGACGATTTCGCAGGATGAAAAAGAGCAGGTCCTGTTTTCATGCATCTTCAACGTGTGTATATGCAAATGTTTTTTTGGTTATCATTTATGAGTGAATGGATTTTTCAATGTGTTCGAAATTGGTTTCCTGCTGGGCATCCGAATAGCTTTAATAATTCAGCTTCATACTCGAAATCTGAGTTTGGAAAACATGTTTCAACGGATTTTTTTTAGCGTAAAGGACCCGACGAAAAATCCAGTTAATTTGTAACACTATTCGAAATTTCGTCATCATGACTTTCAAAATTTGCGCGGGAATATTATTCAAGCTGTATTTTTCCCGATCACATTGCGTTCGTAATTTTGGCAACTCGCTTCAACTTGACCCTGTGGATATGATGGCTTATTAATTTAAAAGTGTCGCATTAAAATTAATATCACGGTAGACTCGGTTAGTAACAATGAAATGGGAGAAGATCATGTTGAATCCTTAAAAAAAATGTTACGAAATGTTGGAACACATTCATTTCAATGCCTGGACTTTTCAGTTTAAAAAATCTCAGATTAAAAAGAGCCATGGCAAAGCTCGTCATCTTTTAATCGGATGCTCAGCCGAATTCTTCGTCGTTACGTTTTGAGGACATTTGACGATGCGTGTTTCAAAATTGAATTTCGGTTTGAGAAAACGCCTGTCAAGCACTCGATACTGATTTCGAAGTGTTCCTTCATTTTTTTTTAGGAGCTCTTTAGCTGCTCCTGGTGAGTAAGAATTCCTCGCGCGAGCACAACGAGCACTGCGTATGCTTCGTCAAGGGTACCTTCTGTTTTATCACTACCTTTTTGAACATGTATTGCAGAGGGAAATTTTGGGAAGCGTATTTTTCTAGAAAAGAACCCCCCCCCCCCCCCATGTTTCGAGAAAATGATTCCAAAAAGATTATCGAAAACATTCCACCAAAAAAAAAAAACTTCGTTTGTTCGTTCATGTAAAAGACCAGACGTACGGAGGTGCTGAAATCGAGCACGTTCACATAGAGTATAGGCACTACGCAAAATGAAGCCAGTCTGGTGGCCTCAGTGTAACTCAGCTCTCTTAAATTGTTAAAGTAGCCGTACAAAACTTTTGGGCGCGTTTCGATTAAAAAACAGACGAAGAAACGTCAATTTTGAACTTGAGTCTTCCGTTAAAATTAGCAATGCGTAATTTAGATGCCATTGGTCATACTTTTCAAGGTCAATTCAAGCCAACACACACGAGGTTGAAGCTCACGAAACCGCATTACGAAGTTCTGAACAGTGAGTCATTTCCAGCGCTTTATTCCGAGTTTTTCGTAGGATGGTAATATTCTTCATGAATTTCTTGAAAAGGAAAAAGAGACCATGCAGAAACAATAAAAAAAAGCATGATACCAGAAAGCCAAAAGCTGGAAGCAAAAATACAAAGTTTCAGTCCGAAATTGAAACATTGGACCCGGCGCGTAATTTAAAAATATCTCTACTAGAGTAGTTCTTGAACAAGACTTACGAAAAAGATAATAATTTTATTACCCAAAATACGCCAAAAATGCAAAAACGAATTATGAGAAAAATTGAGATCAGAGGATGATTTGTTCAATCGAGAAAAATTCGCTCGAAAATTCATCACAGCTTTTTTTTTAAATCCCATTTTGTATCGGGGGAAAAACACATTTCAAACCAGAGCCCAGGGTTAAAAAGAGTGAGAACTAACGATCATCGAAAAATGAGAGTTGAAGAAGAAAGGAGCCGGCAATTCCAGAACAGAACCGATTTTCAATCCCGGAAAAAAAGGAGGACATCAAATTTCTCAATCAGAAATGAAACAGATAAGACGATTTGACTTTTCAATTTCTTCACTTTTTCCCAGGAGAACATTTTGTATCGTCTCGCTATACGCAATCAGTCTTCGCTGTAAGATTCCACTTGCGGAGAACAGAGGAAAAATTAGCTTGCAGCGCGGGTGCATGAAAATTCCAAAAAAATTTGAAGCAATATTCTCAATGCGTCGTACTATGTTTTTATCAAGATGTTTCATGTATGTAATGTTGCTGGAACAGAAATTGAAGCAGAAGACGTTTTAGAGACTTTTTGTCGCTTGTATGCTGCTAACCTGAATGGATCGTGTCCAAAACTCGTTGTATCGCTCATACCACGAAACCTTACGGCGAGCGTTTGGAGAAAACTTTTGCTGAGGCATTCAGTGATGGAATTAGGAAATAAAGACTGCATTGAAAAAAAGAAGAAGAATGTACTCGGTTTATTCACATAAAACAGCTGGAATGTGTTCGTACGTCAATCGCTATAGGCTGACACCGAAGGAATATTTTCCATGCAAAAGTTTCGAAGCCGATTGAGAGGA